CCGCCGGCCCGGGGCCCCCGCGCCGGGCACCGCCCCAAGGGCACCCCTGGGCCGCCCCGGGGGCCCCAGCCCGGCCGCCTCTCCCTCCTTCCCTCCCTCCTTCCTTCTTTCCCTGCCTCCCTGCCGGGGCCGGAGCGGAGGGAACGCGCTCGGGGCGCGGGTGCTGAATCACGGAGCGGCGCGCACGGACGGGAGCGCAGCGCGGTGACTCGAGCTCGGCGGGCGGGTTCGGGAACTTCGCCGGACTTGCAGACGTGGTGGGGAGCGATAGCCCCAAGGGTGCGAGTGAACACATCCCGGGAGCCCCGCACGGAGCGGGTTTGCCGTGGCTTTGGGGTTTCTGTTTGAATCCCAGTTGATAAAATGGCCTGGGGTATCACAGAGGTACAAAGAGGGAAGGAGGGGCTGATGTTAGGTCGTTTTTTGTTTTTTTTTTAAGTAAAAATAAACGCAAGGCAATCCAGACCATTACACTGCTTTTCCTTCCCCAATTTTTCACTTGTCAGTGTCAGAATACAAAATTAAATGGTATGCTGGTGAATAGTATGCTATGGTAAATAGGACTTTTGCTGGCCTGTTTTCTTCAGAGACATTTAATAGCAAAACCTTTGTTGATTCCTTTTGTACGTTTCTGAGTAATTAAATAGGTCTTTGTGACATTTTCATATAGTGTATGAAATACATTAGAAAGTAATACATTTGTCTCCACTTGCACACATAAAAAATTATATGGAGCCATCCCTATTGTTCAACCATGCAAGGAGAACACCTGGATTGTTGGTATGGCTTTCTTGGCCCTATCACTGAAAATACTCATTTATGCCAAATAAAAACACATCCCGAGCTAAATGTTTGTGGTACGAAGTCTGCAAATGGTAGCATGGCTGTACTACTCATACACTTTCAGATAGAGGGTCTTAATGTGTTTACATGTTGTCTGACAGAAGAAAGTGCCTTTGAATTTTGTTGACCCAGGCAAGTGAGCGTAATTTAACTGAAACCATTTAATGCCATACAGGCCCAGGCTTGGGTGCAGTAGAGAGAAAAAGGGCAGGGAGAGGGAAGGAAAAGGCCACTGCCTCTGCACAGTGGGATTGCTGGTGTGGCATTTGCTGGGGTTGCCAGGTTGCCATCTGGTCTAGTGAAAAAAAGGCCATCTCCTGCAAGGCTGGCTGTGCTGAGCAGACCCAGCGCACATGCGCCGCGGCTCGGGTGAGCCTCGGATGTGTCAGAGCCACTCTGCGTGTGCAAATTGATTGGAGCTGTGACACGTGAGCACGCCGTGGGCTCACATCAACTGCTTGGTGTGTGGGGAAGAGCTGCCACATCCCGTGGCAGATCACAGACGTCACTGGGTTCACTTGTCCCTGCGTTCTTCACCCAGTCCCCCATGGAAGCGTTTTTAATACCTTTAGATCACCTGTGAGTGGCTGAGCTTTGGGATGTGTGTCTTATACAAAAATGTGTAATTCAAATATTTTCTCTTTTTGTCTTTGTTAATACATTAATTATGTGTATCTGTATCTACCACGATATAAAAGAGGAGTGGAGGCAGGACTCAGTCAGCGTTGGTGTAGTGTGGTCCAGCACAGGAACGAATTAGGGACTTAGCCCAGGAGTTCTGCTGCTGTGCCTTATGTCCCTACGTGTCCAAACACAGCTGGGCAGGTCTGTGCTGTGATGGCTGCAGCCACTGCCGTGGCAATCAAAGGTGTGAAGAGCTGAGCAGGAGTGAGAGAGGCTCGTGAGCAGGAACCTTGGCTGCAGCCACTGCCGTGGCAATCAAAGGTGTGAAGAGCTGAGCAGGAACCCCAGGCGGAGATGGAATTGTAGGAAACTCTATTTGCTGGCGTTATCTGTCACTCGGAGGAGGCAGAGGGACGAGCTGGGAGACGTGTCACCACACATAAATCCAGTGTGGGAGTGCTTTGTTGATTCAGGATATTTGAACAGTTCTGTCAGGAAAATTTTTACGTTTATACCTTGGCCACGCTAACCACCTATTATAAATTTTCTCTCTCTGGAAAACACACGCTTTTGCAGCAAATATATAATATTGAATGAACAGGTTGTCTGCTTTACTGAATGTTAAGAGATCCTCTAGTTCATTGTAAACTAACTCAGGTGAGCTGACACACCTGCTCTTTTTTAAACTTTAAAGGCAAGACAGCATTGAATCTTTCAACTAGAATTTTACATTCTAGCCTTCCTTAAAATAAACATTTCTGTAGTTTTGGAATTGTTTCTGAAATGTAAGTGAGATCATTGCAGTTCTGATTAAACAGGGCATGCTAGTGGTTTTAACTTCAAAACATCCTAAATTGTCCCAATGTGCTTAATAACAAATACTTTCATAACAGAAGAAGTTGAAGACAGGATGTTGTCTTAAATTGGCTAGTTAAGGAAAATTATTCTGTTACAATTAAAGGAAAATGACAACTGGAATGTAAATATAATTTTGTCTTTATACAACTAAAGTGGTGCCTGGAACATAAATAATAAGAAAATTATTCTGGATTATATCAGGAATGGGATCCAGATACTTTCTGTTTTATGACATTAATTCAGAGCTCTCCCAGCTTAATGGTCGTCCATCACTCTACATGAACCAAATAAAAGTTTAATTTTTGTTTTCTTCACTCTTGTGTTCCCATTGCAGAAATGTCCAAGTTATCACAAAGGCTGCATTTAAGCTACACCAGCATCATGCTAACATTTCAAATGTTCAGTATATTGAACCACTTTGTCTTACCCTGTGCTAAATTGATAATTGACTGTGTTCAACATCTGCTTACCCCAGTGTGCTGCTCCGAAAGCTGCAGACAGTTTGGTGCTGCTGCACATCCCATATGGTTCTCCTCGTAGCAAACTTCAGGGTGAAGGTGCAGGGGCAGCTGAGTGCAGCAGCCACATCAGCTGCCTGTGATCTTTGTTTTACATCTGCATTTATATTCACCCAAGTAGTCCAAAAATAGCCAAATTACTGGATTTTTTTTTTTCAGTAATAAAAACCAAGACCAAGATAATATAAAAGAGTTCTAGACAAAGCCTAAATCAAGTGACAAAATCAGGATTACATCATACCAATACGTGACTTCTGGTTAATTTGTACTAAACTTGGCTGGGCTACAAAAAATGTTAGCATATGCTAATTGTCGTATGCTAACCAATGTGTTGTGGAAGCCTAGTTTTAAACTTGAAATGTTTGTTTCTTCTTTTCATCAGTTTTGCTTACTTGTCATCTCGTGGATCTGCCTTACTTCAGGCAGTAGCACAGCCTGGGTGGTGGGTATGACACACACACCCTTCCTTGAGCAGTGAGGACTTTCCCAGCAGTTTGGGAAGATGCTTTTTGCTGCCATGGTAGGGGAAAAGCCTCACTTCTCATCCTGAGCAGCACTCCCAGACAGCTGGAGAATTCCAGTTACCAGGGTCTCTGGAGAAGTGCACATAGTGTGGAGGTCCAGTTTGCCTCAAATCCATCTCACTACTCTTTTTGCAGGCATTCACAGCCCACGAGGAAAAAACATTTCATTGTAGTTGATGTTTTCTCACCCGCTCCCCTCTGTGAAATATTCTGACTTCTGTGGTCAGCAGCTGCACCCCACAAAAACAGATCCAGAGTTTGGTGGAATGTGGGGCTGACACAGGCCAGGCTCCCCGTCCTTGTGAGCTCCCCATCCCTGCCTGCTCGCCATCATTGTGAGTTCCCCATCCTTCCCTGCTCAACACCCCTCCCTGCTCCCCATCCCTGCCTTCTCCCCATCCCTGTCAGCTCCCCATCCATCCATCCATCCATCCATCCATCCATCCATCCATCCATCCATCCATCCATCCATCCATCCATCCATCCATCCCTGTTCCCCATCCCTGCCAGTTCTCCATCCCTACCTGCTCCCCTTCTTTGCATGGTCCCCATCCATCCTTGCTCCCCATCCCTCCCAGTTCCCCATCCCTCCCAGTTCCCCATCTCTCCCTGCTCTCATCCCTGCCTGTTTCCCATCCCTGTGAGCTTCCCATTCTTTCCTACTCCCCATCCCTGCCTGCTCCCCATCATTGTGAGCTCCCCATCCTTCCCTGCTCAACATCCCTCCCTCCTTCCATCCATCCCTGCTCCCCATCCCTGCCAGCTCCCCATCCCTGCCTGCTCCCCATCCCTGTGAGCTCCCCATCCCTCCCTGTTCCCCATCCCTGCCTGCTCTCCACCCTTCCCTCCTCCCATCCTTCCCTGCTCCCCATCCATCCTTGCTCCCCATCCCTGTGAGATCCCCATCCCTGCCAGCTCCCCATCTCTCCCTGCTCCCATCCCTGCCATTTCCCCATCCCTGAGGAGCTTCCCATCCTTTCCTGCTCCCCATCCCTCCCTGCTGCCATCCCTGCTGCTGCCCGTGCCCAGCCCAGCGTGTGCTGAGGGCAGCAGTGCCCGTGCTGTGATGGATGTGCTGCCTCCCACCTTTACCCCTCAGCCTCACCAAACCCTCAGGCCTTTTCATCGTATTAAGCTCCTTTGACTGGGCTAATGTGACTGAGAAACACACCTTTTTTATCCATTAAGATGAGGCCAAAAATGTTAAGTGCTCAAGATGCAAGCCCCTAGGGCTTGTCTATATATCGAGTTATTACACGTGGAGGCTTTTATCTTCATAAAAAAATGTTCTTTTTGTGCACGCCAGAGTGTGAATTTAAATCCAGTGGTTGTAGTATAACCCTCATGCAGACTCACTCATCCTGGCATCTTTTGGGGGTTTTTTCTTCTTTTTTTTTTTTTTTTTTTTTAGATTAAGCCCAACTTTTTAATTCATTTAGGTAAAATCAAGAAAAGGTACTCAGGCTGAGTTTGTCCACATGAGAAATTACGCTTGCCTACCTCTGGTAGTAGCATGAATAATTTCCTATATGGAGAAGCTTTGTCTATTAGGAATGTTAATTTTGCACATGTTTGCACTTATTTGCATTTGAATCATCCTATTTTTACAAGTGGTAGCTGAGGCACTCTACTGAAATTCATTAGGTTATTCCAAACTGAGGCCATGATCCTGGGGATGCTAAATTAGGCAGATATGTAACTAGATGCATAAATAGGTTCACTGAAGACAACTACCTCCTGATTAAAGTTTGTTCAGTCTTTAAAACATTTGCAGAAATGCTTAAATTCTTCCAAAACTAGCAATTTATGTAACTTTTTCTTAGAAATAACAATGAACTGTGCTATGTTATATTGTATTCTTTTAGCATCCCTGTGAAAGTCACATAAATATCTACAAGTTGCTTAGGAACTTCTTTTCCATTCTTTGTGAATTCCTGTCTGGTTTACACATTTATGAAACTGTAATTTTATAAACTTTAGTATTCTTTTATTTATCCATGTGGTGGTGGGCAGAAGAGAAATTATATTTTGTGATATACTATTAATTACATGGGGGTTTAATCCAACAAGGTAGAATGCTAATAGTATGAGGAAGATAAGATTAGTATCTGAAAGCAATACATGCCAAAGTGTGCAGATAGATGGAAAAACCCCAGAGCCAGCAGCAAGAACCCAGGGCAGTAGCTGACCCCTTTGTGTGCACCTCTGGGGAAAGACAATAGATTGCTGTGAAGCTGGGACTTTATCATGCAGAAAGTTAAATAAATGTCTGAGCAGTGTTTGCTGTTTGCAGGAGTGGTGCGTTACACTCAGATTACTGAACAGAAATAATACAAACCTGGCCACGAAATGGGGGAAAGGATCTGTTGGTGTGCAATCATATATTGGGTTTTTATTCTGTGTTTTGCACAGAACCTCGTGCACAGGGGTCGTGGTTCCTTATCTGAGATCCTGGGTGCTATGAAAATAGGAATTTAAATACTGTTTCTGGAAATAAGCTTGCCATAGATTGCCAGTTTTGCAAGGAAATAATCTCTGCCCCACGTTCAGTGGAGTTGTTACAGTGTGGGAGAGGCCTTGGGTTGCAGTGAGGTAAACACTTGGACACAGGTGCCCAGTCCTGTTTCCAGCTGTTTACTTCAATAACATTGTGTGTCTGAGTAAGAAGGGCAGCGTTTGGCCTTTGGTTTTTGGAGTTAATTGCAGACAGTTAATGGGGACCTGTCACATACATGGGTTCCAGAACAGAATTCAGTCCTTCACTGCTTTAATAACTAATTTTTTTAACCCATTAGCTACATACCCCTATGGAAACAATAGCAGAGCCTTCACAGCCAAGACTAAAGATCTCAATTACATATATAATAAAGGTTGTGCATGTGTTTTCTGGCTGAGAACCATGTTATATTTCAGCCTCAAGCAAAAATTTTCTCCAAGCCGTAGTCCCTCAACAAAAACACACTTTTTAATGAAAGTCCTGACACCACCTTAATTACAGTGCAGCAAACATTACCATCATAATCCCATTTCATCCTTAGGCAAGGAGGGCATCCCTGGGGGCCTGGCTGCTAGTGACCAGTTTTACAGAAACAACCTTTTCCCCAGTGCATTTTTTAATTTAACCTGTGCTGTGCTGCTCGGGGGGAAGATGCAGTGGAGCTGCTCATGCTCATCTCCCCACGCTCCTTGGAGCCCTCCTGGCACTCCTGGAGGATCAGCCAGCCCTGGTCCTGAAGGATCAAGCAGTTCCCAGGGATGCCCAGCCTGCAGCCACCTCTTTGCCTTCCCCACACTTTTGCCTGTCTGCCATGGGAGCCCAGCAGGAGCCAAAGTTCATGTCCAGCATGTTTATACCACAGAGGATTCACCCTGACACTTTCCAGTATCCCCCAAGCTGTCTTTCTGCTTTATCCCTTGCCCAGAGACAATTTTCCTTTTTTTGCTGGCTGCCAGGCTTCAGTAAAATCCTTTCTTTGGATCCAGTGGTGCAGGGGGGAAGGCTCTCCCAGGGGCAGCCCTAATCCAGGTGGGTGAGCACAGAGCTGTTTGGAAGGCAGGGCTGTGCCCTGCCCAGCTGTGATGTGATCATTTCAAGCAGCCTTCAGTGTCTCCAGGCTTTCACAGTGTTTGTTTGGGTAAGTAAAATGTGATTAGTCTCTCATTACCATGTCAATTTAGTGTATAGATTTTGTGTGGGGACTGCAATATTGGCAGGCCAAGTTTGCAAGGCTGTGTGAAGCTGGGATATTTTCCTACCAGAAATTCCTACCAGAATATATCTATGTATATGTATAAACACAAGGGATAAGACTAGTGGTTCTTCTTTTTTTCCTGCCTTCTTAAATCAAAGTAATAAATCTGTATGATCAAAAGAGTTAGAATAATCAATCTCTCCAAATTGATCTGAAAATCCTAGTTAAAGGCTAGAGGCAAATTAAACATGAGGGTTTTTGTTCTCTGTGCAACATTGTCAAGTACAGTCCAGTTTTCCATTATGGAACTCCTAGAATTCTTATGTACAGCGTAAAATCATGCAGCTGAGATACTGTCTCTAAAAACAAGCCAAAGCCCTATGTCTGCTGGGAGGACGTTTCTGTTATCCTGTTCCCTTCTATTTAGGTTCTCATATGGTGTTAATCACCATGGTATCTTACAGCTTTGTAAAAATATAGTGCACCATATGTGATAAATCACTAATATTAAGAATGAAGATGCTGGAGAAAAATACTCTTCCCAAATCTAAAGCAGAACATGTGCAGTAATGGACATACCCAGGCAAGCAGGCTGAGTAAAAGGAGCATGAATACAAGAGATGGGGGCAGAATCATCCCTAAGGTGATAATATTTCATCCAGTCACTGCTTGTGAGTGTGAATGGCACTCTCACTCCTGTCTTCCCCAACCTGCTCACTAAAGCACAGGGACTATGTCCAAGCCATCTTCTCTTCCCTCCTTTGCACAGCAGACCAGTGCCTGCTTTGTAATGTTCAGGGCATCAGTCAAAAGAAGATAATTTGCCAAAAAACGCAAAGTAAGCTCGTGCATTTGTTGCTAATTAAGTGCACACATAATTACAGTCCAAACATAAAGCAAAATGAGGGACTGCACTTCCATTGGAAAGAATGCACCAGGAGTGGTCATAAATTATCCCCCCAACTGGTAATCTCAGTTACATATTTTCTCATGTTTTTTTCATTTCCCACTTAGTTCCAGCCAGATCTGTTTTCTATTTATATTGTCAAGTGTCAACACATAAATAATTTTCTCTGTTGTATCCCTCACTACTACATTCTTTTTCTTGATAGAATAGCAGAAGTAATTATATTTATAAATGGAATGCCTGTTTTGCCTAAGTACTGCATATAATTCCCCTCTGTAAGAGGGATTTTTATAATTTCTCTAAAAATGTCTTGGCAAGGATCAACCCTCCAGTTGGTAGTGTGGACCCAGCCTTTAGGAACAGAACTGGGGATTCTGATCCCTTTGGCCAACAGGCAGGAGGGCACCACAGAAAAAATGCTCTTGTTTGTTTCAGAGAATGATGCTGTTGAATATGTGCAGTTTTTAAATACCCAGAAAGCAAATTCACTGAGAACGGCTTCCCACCTGTGGATTCCTCTGTTCAGCACAGAATTATTTTGGCAACTGAAGAATTCTTCATTGTGGATGGCTGTGGGAAGATATTAATCCTGTTCTTCAAGTAAGATGCATTCACTGATCTACTAGACCTGCTCCACCTCTGCTGTTTCATATTGTGAGAGGAAATCAAAGGAATCCCAAGTGATGAGTAATCTCAAGTCATTTTTAGCCCCTTTCTGCCCTGTTTTGCAGCAGCTTTCTGCAGACAAGTTCAGATGTCCCTTGCTCAACAGGAGTAGAGCAGAGGGAGATCTGTTGTGAGCTCTGCTTTAAGGCGAGCTGAGTTTTCCATCTCTGGGCACTCCTTGAGAAAACCTCACTCCAAATGGTTGTATGGGGATGGCAGATCCCAGCCACAGACAGTTCACAGCTGCCTCACTGGATGGAACAGCAGAATGCCTCCTGGAGCTGATCTGCAGTACAGGAGGAGAAAATCAGGATTTTCTTACTGGTTTCTGCTGTCTGGATGTGCATGGGTGTTCTTTCATTATAGTTTCTCCAACATTTGCTCTGAATAGAGGTTGTACCAGGGCACCTACAAAGCAGTGAGCCATCCTGTTCCTACAGATGTGGCAAGCTTGAAGAATGTTGTATTGGAGCATTCAAACCCCGTGTCCTGTGTCATCTGGGAGCTGTGGGAGAGATGTGGGTGATGTAAGACATGTCCTTGGTGAAAAGAGTGCCTGTACCTCTGGAGTCTCACAGGGTCTGAGGCACAACCCTACAGTGTGGTCAGAATTTCCATGGGTACTTCAATCAGTGGAGGTTCAATTACTGAATTTTCCTTCTTGTGTGATCAGCAGAACCAAATACACACTGCCCTGGAGCTCAGCACCTCCTGGTCCTGTATCTTCCACACAAATCAGCCTAAACCAACACGGAGGTTTCACTGCCAGTGACTTGGCAGCTGGCACACCTGTGTCTCTGTCCCTGCAGGAAGGGTCCAGAGCTGGAAAGGCAGGGATGTCCCTGCAGGAAGGGTGCAGAGCTGGAAAGGCAGGGATGTCCCTGCAGGAAGGGTGCTGAGCTGGAAAGGCAGGGATGTCACATCCTCAGCCACTGCAGTGACATCCAGGAGTCCCCAGAGCTGCCTGTCCTACTTTGTGCAGATGATTGGAGCGTGCTGGAGCCTGCGCCTCCAACAGCACCATTCCAGCAGTGTCAGCTACAGAACCCATCAGACTGGGAGTGCTCCTGGTGGCTGGCCCTGCCAGGCTGTGGCTCTATTCCTGTCTTGGTGAGTCTGATTTAGCTCCTTTACAGCTCTGCTCTCTCACAAGCTGCAGCCTCTGAAGCACAGAGAAACCCAAGTCCCTTTCCCACTCCCCTGTACATTTACTCAGAGGCCTCTCAGAAGTTTTGGACTGCAGTCTTTCCCTTTCCCTGTGTGCCCCCTCTAAGGGTTCATGTTTATTTAAGATTTAACTTTATGAGCAGTTTTCTTTCTCTCAGTATACACAGTTCAAATTTGGTCTGTTCCCTCAGCTTTTGCATTCAGCTGGTTTGACTGATTTAATGTCGCTGATTTACCGGTATAATTTAGCTTGTCTGAAGGGAAGGAAGATTGATGTTGGCTGAAATAAAATTCTGAGATGCCTATGGAGTTTTATTGCCCTAGATTTTTTGATTGCTATTTATTCACAAAAGTGGGCAGAACTCTGACTTGAGATTTTTCAGGAATGCCTCCATTATGTCAGAGCTGCTAATTCTTTGAGTCAAGTCATTGTGGTTAGCCAATCTTGTTTTCTGTCTCTGTGGTAAGATTTTACATCCAGAAGGCTAACCTCAATGCTCCCCCACAAAAGCAGGCAGGGATGACAAAGCATTTCCTTCTTTGACCTCTGTACTTGAGTTTTGTAGAAAGATGAAATCTATCAAATCAGACCAAATGCCAAATCACCTGCATGAGAATGAGCAGGTCAAAGCCTGTTCCTGCAGCAATATGTGGAACAAAAACATACTGAAACATGTTTTTAAAAGTAATTTCTCCTCTAAAATAGTTTTTTTCCCCAAATTTAGACTATGAACTATGAAATTCTCTCCTGCTTGTGAGTTACATATGGTTATCACATCAGAGAAAACTTGAAGTTGTTAGGATTTTTGAATTTTGCGTACTTATCTTGAATTTTCTGGGTTTGTGATGTTTTTGGGGGGAATAAACGGAATATTCTGATTTTGTCATATACCTGCTGGGATAGCACTGGGCTGGATCCCTTCTGCTGTGACAAGGGCCACACTCCAGACCCTCAACACCTCCTCTTGATTCACACAGGGGCTGTGTCTCTCCTTCTAATTAGCAACATAATCACCCATGAACTAAAGAACTCAGTCCCACCCAGATGCATCTGGAGCTGGTTTTATGAGTGCAAGATATATAATATCAGCATTATGTCATATAAAAACCTCTGGCTTGCCACCATGAAATTCATTTGTGCACTCTGCTTGTACCCCTGGTGCTGTGCTAAGCTGAAGCAAACTGACCATTTGGACCAAGCTTAGCTCCCTACTTGAAATCCCAGGATTATGATGGTAGAGCAGGAGTATTCCCTGTGCTGGAGCTGCCTTCCAGCTGGCCACTCTCAGATCAGTGACAGGTCAGACCAAGTGGCAGCAGGTGGGTGACCAAGGAGCCTGCCACTGACAGCTCTTTGCCTGTGGTGGGAAGGACTGGTGACTGCACAATTCCCTCAGACTGGAGCATTTCAAATAATAAAATAAGCATGGTTTGGAAACTGCCTCTAATAGTGGAGGGACAGCTGACCACTTTGTCACTGCTGCCACTCTGGCATCACAGAAAACTGACCTGAATTCTTGATCTGGCCAGTCTGTTGATCTATAATCATAGTGATCCGTTAATTACTTGGCTTAATTACAGGCAATTTATTCTAATGAAAGGTTTAACTATACCTACCTTTGTAAGTTTCCACATTATTTTTCATTGAGATAATTTTCAGGCATAAAAAATCCAGCATGCAGTGCCTTAAAACAACCCATTCCACAAAGACTGCGGAGCTTTACTGGCAAATTCTCCATACAATATTCTCTGTTCAGGCAGTAAATATCAGAGCCATGAGAAACATCCTGTATTCTTCACATACACACACCCCACAGGGGGCTAGAATCCCTCTCAATGCAGTTTTACCCATGCACTCGTGACCTGGGCTTCCATAATTCCTCTTTGCTGTGATATTAGCACCAGGTGTACCATCAGTACACCTGCCTTTTCATGTAAGCTCTGATGGAGAGATGCAGTTAGCAAATGGCATCAGGTATTAATGCAGAAGTGACCTTTTAATGTCATGCACAGATACATGAAGAAAGAACTGCCACTGAAAACTTCTGATTAAAGATAAAAGTAGACAGCCTGTACAAACATTAAGATAAAAAGTAAATCCATTTGCCCTGAGTTTCCCCTGCTATCCCACCTCCTACTCTAAATTGATGTTGTCAGCACTCATGATTTTATCACAAGTCTTGTGATGTTTGATGTTTCACTTACACTCCAGCTACTACAGTTGTGTAATGAGGTTAGAAACTCAGTTTTCCTCTTTCTTTAATTTAAAGTAAGTTCCTAGTCCTAATGGTTAGAGTATAAAGCTTGCAAGTGTGACCCAGGTGCACCCTAACAGCTCAAAAACCAGAAAGCACAGTAAAAGAGCTCCACATTTATCGTTTCACAGACAGGCTTGTGATTTTGAGGGTCAAACTGTAGTTCTTGAACATTTGGAGGTGGCAATAGCAGCTTGGGAAAAAAAAAGTGCTTGAACAAAGTCCCACACCATGCTGCATTTTCCAGGGAGGCAGAGCAGTCATTATACCACAGTGATAATTCCCTTTTCAGACATGCACATTTTCCTATTTTGTTTGTTATGCAGCATCTCAGCCCCAGCCTGGCTGGTCTGTAGGGGATTGTCCTGGTGTGTAACAATTTGCCTGATGTTGGAGGGCTCAAACTGCTCCTTGTGCTGACACAGGAGAGGTTTTGCAGCACTCCTTACTCCCCACAGACTGGCAGGTTTGTGCATAAAAAACCTGTAAAACCAGGAATGTTCTGACTTCCAGTCTAGGAAGTTGATCTGCCTTTTGTAAAGCTCCATCAAGAAACCAGGAATACCCCACCCCTGCCAATCCAGCAACAAAGGGGCAAAGAACCAAACCAATGCAAATATGGAAATTCAGTAACGTTGAAAACAGCTGGTTTGACTTACAGTGCCCAGAATGTGCCAAGTGCAGAATTTGATGAACAGACCAAAAATACTCAGCTGATGGGTTTGGAAAAACCAAGCTTCCAGCAGCAACAACTCAAATTTGAAGGAGACACCATATTTAAATGGAGCTCCAAATTATCAAAGACTTCCCATTGTATCACTAAAAGTATGAATTTCACCAAGAACTGGAGGGGTATCCAAAGCAATGGGCAGAGTCTGAGTGTGGTGTGGGCACATTGGTCAAAACTCCTCTGCAGGCACAGACTGCTGGTGCCAAAGGTCCCTCTGTGCTTGCCCTAAATGATGGTGTAATCCATTCTGGAGGTGACAAAATTACAAATAACTGACAAAACCTAAATGCAAAGAAAAGGTGAAAGTCCATGAGACTCAAATACTACCTGAGTGTACAGAATAACAAGGGAGGTTTTCTGTTCCGCAAATATAAACTAAAACTGGATAACATTTTCAAAGAACTAAAGAAATTAACTGATTCTACACTGCTCCTGTTAATAATTTTGTCCCTGAATTCAGCAGTAATTTCCATGTGGTGATTTCCATGGGACTGACAGTTTGCTTCTAAACTGCTTCCCCTGTAAAAAGCTGAAGAAGCCATTATTGACTCTTGATCCCTTTGCTGAGTGTTTCAGAGGGCACACACATCTCTCTGTATCACAGATCACATTATTTAGGCCTGTGGACTTACATTTTTTATCCCTAATTTAAAGGGCTGTGAAAAATCTCTGTCTTCCAAGAGGTGCATTCTTCAGCCTTAGGAACTTCTAAACAACTTTAAAAAGGCTACACAAAACATCAGAAGGGGCTGCATCTTCCATATATTAGTTTATATGAAGAGGAGTTCTCTTTATGATGTTTTCCAGCTCCTTTCTAGCTCTGTTGTCTGTAATTACTTTCAAATACACCCAAATCATCACCCTGTACTGAAATGAACTGTCTCTTACTCTCACCTATGCAGGCCTGTGCTGCTGGCATAACAATGTCAGATGTATTTCTGAAATCTAAAATGAGTAAGGTTTAAAAGATTTTCCCACCTGTATTGTCCCTGCTCCCATGGCAGTCTGGCAGGACTCCTGTTGCTGTGGCAGGACAATTTAATGCTGGTTTCTGTTTTTTAAATAACAGAAAGTTCCTTGTGGCACCTGTGTAGATAAAGCTGTGTTCAAGCCATTGATTTCACTTTGACACTCCACAACACATGAATTAAAGAACTGGATTTCTGTCCTCTGAGTCTGTCTCCCTTTCTGCCTCACTAAACATTAATTATTGTGGTCTTGACACTCTGTTCTGCCCTTTTTCTTCTCTTTCCTCCTCCCCAGTCCCCACTGTCACTCCCAGTGGCTGGGGAGTCTTTCCATTAAAGCAATCCTGTTCATCTCCCAATAAAGGGCCATCAGCCAACACATTCTGGGCCTGAATTCATCTCATAAATATTGGTACAGGCTTAAATAAATGCAGTCCTTCATTTAATGTACTAGATTTCAATGGAATTACATGGGGAATTAATTTGCCTCTGTTTGTAGTCTGAAAAACAATGAAATAGGGAAATGCTGAGTCCATGGCTCAGCTTTCCCAACTGGATGAAGGATGGTTCTGTCCATTAACCAAGGCAGGAGCAGATTCCTGATCTCATGCCTTTTCTGTACAAATATTGTAGGCCTTGCTGGTCCAAGGCCAGGAGGATCTCTAGGTCACAGCTGCCCTGACATCAGCCTGTGGACCTGTCTGCAATGTCACGTATTTCAGTACGTGTCTGTAACTCCTGCTACACGTGACAGCACTTATTTTGGGATGTTTCTGTCTTTGATGATAAAAAGAGTTTTCATTTGGGTATCATTTACAAGGAGGTGCCAGCAGCAGCTCCAGGGGTCGATGAGATGAGGTCCAGCAGAGAGTGAGTAGCTGGCCTGGCGTGTGCAGCACTTGTTCACTCCCTGGGCCTTGTGACTTGCTCTGTGCCTGAGCAAAAAGCTGAATTTCAGGATATTCCAGTACAACTGGATGGGAAGTCACACAAGTAAAGGACTGGTGATGAACTTTTCAGCTAAAATTTCATACCTTTTTTTTTTATTCCATTTGTTCATCTCCCATCTTTTCTGCCTGCATATTATACACCGCTCTGTTTCTTTACCATCTTTCCCCCCGTTGCTCTGTGCCTTTTCCTTCCCAGATGAAACATCCCTCTTTTTTCCATTGACTGCCCTTTGTAGGTTCTCTCCATATAACTCATAATTTCTCTCCCTCACCTCCCCCACTCATCCCAACATCTTGGGCAGGAGTGATTGAAGGCATGGAGTCTGAAAGAGCAAACCAGTCTCTAGAGAGAGAAACACTGCAGATCATTATCTTCCTCACTCTGTTAATGGAGAAACAGAAAATATGTGAAGTCAGCTGATAACATAATACATGTGTGGATGAAAGTTCTTTTGCTGCAAGAGATATCAGAAATATAAGGCACCCACAGGTATTTGATCTGAGCAAAGTCTTCCTTGGCTCTCAGTGTTCCCATTCTAGGTCCATGTATAGCTGATGTCTGTAGGAACACACTGGAAATCCAGATCTGTACTTTAATTAAATGAGTGAGGTTTCAGCATGGAAGGTGCAGGAAAGCATTTTTTATCTCTTCCAGACTAGTCAGCACACAAATTCCAGTAGTTTTCATGGTTATTGATACTATGATAAAATGGATCTGCCCAAGAGCCTTTTCCTGACTCTTCATGGATCAGTTAGGTCAGTCCTCACAGTGAAAAGTGCTTCAACTGTAGTGTTACCATTTCAAATACTGCTCTCTCTGCTCTCCGAAAATAGAAGAAAAATAAGAATACAATAGTTGAGACCCCTTATAAAATCTTCCTGGAGGAGTCCAAGGATACTCACCATTGGTCTCAATGGAGCTTTCACACATCCTTGAAAGGAATTCATTAAGCTGGAAAAGCTGGCTAGAAACCAGTCTTCCTATAATGTCTTCCATAATTTGCTCCAAGGGACACATTTATAGTCACTCAGCCTTTTTTATAGATCTTGTGCAAGATGAAGGGCTGGGTCACAATTGCAAGGCTTTAATGAATAGATGTTTGTTACATGCCACAACCCAAATAATTTTTCAAGCATCTCAGCACTGCTCAGTCTTTTCAGTCTGGACTTCCCCAAGGATATGGGACAGATGATGGCTGCAGCCTCTGGAATCACAGGGAGATAGTGACTGGTTTTGTTCCCTCTTCCACATTGACCCATTGAGGTACAGAGAGAAAACACCCAGCAACTGCAATTTCTACTCTTGGTTTTGTTTCCTGAAGAATTGAAGATTTCAGTTATTTCTTTTTATTCATATGAATTTCTCTTTATACAGGCTTATATGAAAACAGATTACAATAGGGAGGTTCCTCCAATTAACAAAACTTCACTGACATTTTAAACATCTATCATTCATGGCCACATCTCAGGATAACATTCTGCTTTTCAAGGAGCCCCGAGATCTTCTTCATGAACTCTGTTTCATTTTATAAGCATTGTCTGTCATTTCCATTCCACCAAATGCTGCCATTTTTGGGTATGAAGCTCACTGGAGTTTTAGAATAGGGTGACCTTTGATTACCAAATACAAATTTAGTGAGAAACTTCTTATCTGAAGGAAGCCCATATTAAGAACTAGTTCCCTTTCTAATTGTACTTATTGTTCTGAGAAAATAGAGCACTTGGACATTGGACTTTTTTTGCTGGATATTTTCCACCTGGCCACAAACACTGGAAGTCATGTCTTAGCATGGTAAACCAAGTTGGTGTTGCACAAAGAAACACTGAATTCATTTGTAGATTGCACCAGAACCAGCCTTGAGTCACCATATTGATATACAAAGGATCAGATAGTAAACTTTTTATTAGCAGCCAGGAATTTCTTTTGAAAATTATTCTTTTTTTGACATGCCTACATATGGCCTGAAGGATGCTGGTACTGTTCTCCTTCTATCAAAATAGGATATAATGTGTGACTGTGTTCTAGAAAAGTGTTACCTTTTTTAACAGATTTATAATTTTTTAATGTCAGACCACCACAGAGCTTTCAAGCAATAGCTGCTGGCCAAAACTACATTAGGAAAGTGCATGTTCTGCTCCATTTCCCTCAAGGAGGGGGAGGTAAACATGGGCAATCTGGACTGGGAGGGCCAGAGCAGAGGTAAGGAGACAGCCAGCTCCCCTGGCTCCTGCTGTGCTCCTCCTGGGGCTGCTGCTGGATTGATCAGCTTCAGAGGAAGATAACAGAACCTTTCCTGGAATTCACCATCCCTTGCTTTCGTGCCTGTATCCGTATTTAAGAAAAAAAGTTATCTTGCTGAGGAGCAGTAGCAGTGCCTCAGCTCTCCAGGGCAGCTGTTGGGCTCTGTGCAGACAGACAGACAGACAGACAGACAGAGGCTTCTCCTGCCCCAGCCTCTCAGCAGCAGTGCTGGCCTGGGCACTGAGCCCCGTGGCCAGGAGCACACAGGGGTAGGGGCAGGGTGAGCCCACATCTGCCTGCACCTGTCTGTGCTGACAGAGTTAAAAATGGGGTGGAAAAAGGAAACAGGAACCACCTCTGAGCCCAGCTGGGGCTGGGGCAGCCACACAGGGCTGGATCTGCCCCAGAGACAGGGAGAGGCTCTGGAGCTGCTTCCACACTGCCTGCAGGAACACAGCAGGGACAGCAGCTCTTGCTGAGTTTCTGCAGGCAGCCCATACACCCATTTCTTCCCAAAATGTCAATACAGAAGTAACAATGCAAAATACCAAGGGAGGGATATTGTATTCTGCTGGATCTCAGCTACTCCGAGAAATGGGAGGCACAGTGGGATTTTTTGCCTCCTAAAGGGAAGATGGAGACAATATTTGTGGTGGAGGGGAAACAATATTTCTGGTGAATTAGCACTGCTGACAGACATACCTGGTACACAGGGCTGGTGGAGGCTGTTCTTTCCATCTGCAGGGGAAAGCAGTGCGCTGTAAAGCTCAGTGGCATTTTGAAATACTTGTAAAATCCATGCAGCACAACCTGAAACTATTATTAACCAGTTAGTCACAGCGCTGCTAATTGCAAGTCACCTCAGACCAGGGAAGCTGGGTAAGGAGCTGAGCTCAGAACGACCACCTGCTTTAGGCCACCATTAGTCATTGCTGAAATTAAATTACTTGACTCCAGCAGGATGAGCCAGGTCACCTTGGTTGGGTATTTGGGCTTCACATGCAGAGAGTGAGTCAAAAAAAACAATCTGCTTTCCTAGAGAAAAAAGGTGTTGGGGGGGTGTAGACAGTGCTAAATTCTGTGTTTTGCCTTCACTCCCCTCCCTTCCCCTCCCTGAACTCCCAGCCCTCCCCTCAGGGCTGCCCAGGATCCCTTTGGGATCTTGGCCCTGGAGGAACTTCTGTTGTTCTGTTCTAAACTGACCTGGGCCCACCTTTATTGAGAAACAATACTGGGCTGAGCAGAGCCTGTAGTGCCCTTCTGCTGCTTCCTGTGGGGTGCCCAGGCTGCTGTGACAGAGATGGGCAGAGATTTCACCTCATCACTGTGTTTCTGTTTGCATTTGTCAGTGTTTTCTGAGAGTGCCCTTCCAGTGATCTTTCCAATTCTGTGTAGGAACTGGCCAAAATTCAGGTTGCAGGAGGGTTTAGGTGGGAGACTGACCAGGGCCCCTCGGGGATCAGGAAATGATGGTGGTTAGGCTGTGCTCTCTTTGGTACTTCTGGAACTAAGGTCTCTAAATTCTGTCCAAACCCAGATGTTAAGGAGCAGGGATGAACTCTAAAAAAAAGCCCTCAGTATATAAACTGCTCCTGCCCACAGACAGCCGCATTGTTTGGGTCTGTGGCAGAAGGAAGCAGGGTCAGGTGTTTCTTTTGTGCTCAGTGAAATGATATCTGTGAGCCCGAGGAGCTGGAAGGGATATCTGAGGTCACCGAGTTCAGCCCTTCACTACTGCAGACAAACATGATGTAATCCCTTTCATTACATGGGCAAACTTCCATTCTAAAAGTAGTTTTGCTTGTTTTCCTATTTTTTTTTCTCCCCTTGCTTTGCTCTCCTGCCCTCCTGCAGTGAAGTTATGCCCAACCTTACTTTTAGTTTTTGAGCTTGTGTTTATTCCCAGCTAGTTTTCCTGGTATACTCTAAAGTCTAGCCCATGTCTCCACATTTTTGGTGTTTCTGGTGAGTGGAAATGGAAGATGATGAAATCCACAGGAAGAGAGTTCAGTATTTCTATTTGTGCTTGTTAAGTACTCAGCCCACTAGTGCTTGATTAGACAATTTTGAGATACAGGCAAATGATAATTACATTGGTCACAATACATTTAACTGAACATCTGAAGTATCCATTAAAAAGAAAACCCTTCTAGAACAAGAACTTTTATTTTATTAAACGATTTAGTATTTAGTCATATGGCTCTTAAAGATACTTATAGCTGAATTATAAAGTAG